GCGACATGCGTGGGAACTAGAACAGTCAGTATACACCGCATTCACGTCCCCGCCCCTCTGGGCCCCCCTTGCTCCGGGGGCCCCCGCCCCACTAAACCCCACGTGACGCAGGACGGGACACAGACCAAGTGACACCACAGGCCCCAAGCCACACACCTCCTCAGCCCCCACCACTACATGCCCACCCCTTCCATTTGCGGGTTTCACTTCCCCTCCACCCCACCCTACCCCACCCCAACCCCGCTTCACGCTGCTCGCCTCTATCGTGTTCTCCGTGTTGTCCTGCCGAGCGAAACCCTGATAGCTCCACCCCACATACATGAGCTCCAGAGCCACGAAGCGAGTGCGGTAGCGGCTGAAATCGAACTCCCGGGGGGCTGGTGGTGGGGGGGTTGGGTGGCCGGGACGCAGTAGGTGGGGGCCGGTCGGTGGGGGGGGGGACAAGACGAAACACGAAGGGAGAGAAGCTGATGCCAAGGATGGGCCGATAACCCCCTGATGGTGGGAAGGGAAGCCCGAGTAACGGCAACGGCAACGGGAACAGCAGCAGCAGCAGCTGCAACAGCTGCTGTTTCCGTCGGCGAGCTTTCTTCCGAGTGCGCGAAGAAGAGGACGAAGTGGGGCAAGCGAGGGTGTGCGACTTGGTGGGTGTGTGCGAATTATTGCGTGTCTGTATGTATGTCTGTATGTAAATGAATTCCTAGTTGTAAGCAGTTCACGTGTCTACGTGCGGGTTACGTGTATGTATGTATGTGTGTGTATTTGTCTTTCGGGAAACGCACGCACGTGCGAGACCGGGGTCGCTCCCGGGGATTTAGTCCCACTGCCACCGGGGCGACTGGCGAGGAAGGTTGCCGAGGTGGGGAGACTGGCGAGAGGGGTGACACATGTACGCCGCGTACGGGAGGTGTGCGGGATGCGGTCAGGGAGAGGGAGAACGGAGAACAGCAATGACGGCGACCCCGTGGGGCCCAGCCGGGACCTGGTAAAAACAGAGACGGAGGCAATAGAGATCGCCCCCCAGAGAGATCGTCCCCCAGCCCTGTACCCGGCCCCCATAACTCTCAGCGCCGACGTAGCCCCGCGCACAACGCAATCCAGGAGTCACGGCCGAGGGCGCGGAACGGGTTGGGCACCAGTGGTGGTGGCGGGGAGGGGGGGAACGGCCCGGCCCCCTGCGCGGAGCCGGGCTGGTCGGGGTGGGGAAAACGCTTCCATTCCGTGGAAGTCGTCGGACGATTTCTCACCTCCCCTTTTCACGATGTACCCAGATGCACGCACAACCCCACCCCCAACAATACAGTAGCAGCAGCAGCAGCAATACGGGACTGGCGGGCAACGGTGCCTTCACACGTGCGGAAAAGTTTCGGGGAGACGCATGAATAGGCGTTTACGAGGTTTAAGGCAATCTGCTATGTCGTACCTCTCCGCTGCTTCTTAGCGGGCTGCCCGGTGGTCGCCTCCGCCGACCCGTCAACCACCAGTGGCCTGGCGGCCGTGGCCGCCCCAGCCGCGGCACCGCAGCCGCCGCCGTCGGTTGCTAGGCCTGATGGTGATGTGGCGGTGTTTGCGGCGGCGGGGGCGGGGGTGACTACGGGGGAGCCGGAGGTGGCGGCAGGCCCGGATGCTGACGTGGTCAAGTGGGCTGGAGCAAGCCAACGTGTGTGCGGGTTTTGAGACCCAGGGGCCATGTGTTCCGGGGTTGGGGGATGTGGGAGGGAAGGATAGAACACAAGAGGATGAGAAGGTTGTCCTGGACTGTTGAGCTTGCACGATGATTTAGGGAAGGATAGAGGGCCCAGATACGCGGGGACGGGCGGAAGATGGATTGAAGCGAATGGTTTGGTTCCGTGCGGTGGTGGGAGGGAGCCAAAAGTGAGGGGCGAGGTACAGCGTGGAGGCTTCACTGACCCGTGGTTTAGGAGCAGCTTTATCCTCACCAGTGTTGTTGCTTGCTATTCGCATCTGCTCCGCGAGAGAAGCGAGCTGATCCGCGAGGTCCCGCAGCGGTAAACTGTCATCGGCCGCCGCTTGGTTTGTCAGGGCCTGTAGGAGCTGTAAAAGCTCCGCCCGCGGTCGAGTTGCGTTTTCGGCCATGGATATCATTAAAGAGCCTGAGTTAAAGAGGCGTCGTACTAGCAGCCGAGAGCTCTGTGCGGACAGCCATGCGTCCGCCGCAAGGCAATTCAGCACACAGCAAGTAAGCGAAATCGGTCGAGTATGAAACGTGACCAAAACGTTCTTGAAGAGATTTTGCATTTGCTCATGTCCGTTTGTGAGGAGCTCGATCCAGGTACGAAGTGTTGAGCTTGACAGACGCGAGCGTCAAGTCGTCAGGTAAATCCTTGATAATGGTTTTTTTTAACTATAATCATAACCTAACTTGAGCAACGGCGTTGCAGTTATACCCAAACCCAGAAACCTGGATTTTCTTGGTGGAACCCCATCTTTAACAGCACCTCCAGTTCATTATGTTCCCTGAGGGCCAATCACGTCTCCTCTCTACCTGCCAAAGGGAAAACATAAAAGGATGAGACTATCCGCCCGGGATCCGAGAAAACCCGTTGCCCATGCCCGCATATGTTGGCCGTAAGAGGACCGTACGGCCAGCACGGTATGGCAACACGTGATACGAAAAGTGGGCTTTCAATGTCATTGAAGGAAGCCGCACCGCTGTCACCCCCATCGTCCTGACAACAAATCAGTGCTCGGCGATGTCCCACGTTCGTATGTATCGCTGATGGCTAATCTCCCCGGGGAAATATAAAATCCGACGATGCATGTTCTAATGGGTCTACTCTATTATATGTGTGTGAATGTACGACCCACCCTTCAGCAGTGGCGCCTGTGCCTAAGTCATGTTCCGGTTCGTGTTGCCAATCCGAAGAATGCTCCGACGACGGAAAACGGAAAGGGCGACGGAGCAAAAGGAGCTGAACATCTGCTCCGCTCAGCCTGGTCCCCACCCCACCACCTTCTGGCGTATCAGTCCATACCCTCCTTGGCATCAGCTTCGCTCGTTCACGTGGTTCGTCTCCCCCCACCCCACCCTCCACCCCCCCAGCCCCCCACCCCACACATCATCCCTTGCCAAAGAAGTGGGCGTTGAGTCCCGCGCATGGAGGCAGGCAACCTCGACCGTCGCCAAGTCGTTGTCGTGGTCGCCACCGTCACCGTCACCGGTGGCGTCAAGTGCACCCGAGCATTCCCTTATTAACGGGCCAGCACCGCCACCCACCCCCACCGCCAAGTGGGGGTACTGCCTCTCGCCCCTCAGCTGCCGTCAGACGATAAATTACTATTTTTTCAACTCTTATCAACACCAACTCTGTGACCATTATAAACCCTCTACACACGGACCGGTAGCGTCACGACATACAGTCCACATCGTCTCTCCGCTGTTGGACTTCACTGGAATAGCTACTTATGGCTCAGCTCATCGCCACACTCTCCGCATATCTTTTCCAGCCCATCAATGCCAACTGCTCCAGCAGCACTTCCCTCCTTGCCTTCTGCTCCGCTCCGTCTCACGCTCACATAACATCTCTTACATGTCCTATTTTCCAGTTCGACTGGCAATGGGCAACTGGGTTCGCGCACTGCCAGTAGGCTATACCTGCTCAGCTGTCCTTGTTGAGATGCAGGCGGCGCGCAATGCACCGTCCATACATTTGAATTGGCGCCTCAGCAGCGCACCGTGTATACACACCCGACACTCACTCACACATCACTCCAACGCCGCCGGCCGCCGCACCCGGCCCTCACCCCGCAGCTATACCCACAAGAAATAGTCCGCGCGTATATATGTAATCCAAACACAACGCGCCGTCCCTGCTTCCTGTTGCAGCCCAGTGCCGTACAGCCTCCCCAGCGGAACACTGCGGGGGGCGACTGCTGGCTGACGTACCTCGGCCGAGAGCCCTTTTCGGTTCTCCAAAGAAGCTCTCTCCAACTTCCCCGGTTTTATTTCCTTTTTAACGATATCATCCGTTCATTTTGAATGTCCGCTCGGGTGCGTGCTCGGCACCCCACTAACCCCCCGCATCCATCCACACACCCGACTGCTCAAAACCCCCCAATGTCCCGCTCCAATGCAAGGTACGACAGAAGACAGCAGTGCACCGCTGCGAGGAATGAAAGACACCAAAGGCCGTCCTGCACCACCGCCATGTCCGCGAGCCCTTTCCAACCGCATGTGAACCCCCCATTCCCCCCCGTCCCCCTCTCCACCTACGGCTTCGGTCTACTGCTCTTCTTCCGCTCCTAATGAATTTACTCTTGGCGGCTAGGTAGGTAGTTTTCCTCTGTCGTCATCACTACATCAAATCGCGACTGGACTGCTTCTTCACATCCGCCGACTGGTCAGTTGTCCACTTCCTGCACATCGGCCGCAGCAGTATTTCCTCCTGGCAGCAGCTTCACTCGCTCGTGGTTCGTCTCTCCCCCCTTTCCACTCTCCACCTACCCCGCCACACATACACACGCGCGCGCACCCACACGTGCCGTGCCTTTACGTTTTGTGCATAAACGTCACAACTGCACATCCGTCGGCACCTGCTATTGAGGAAATGCGCCGGGGAGTTGAGGGGATAGCCGAATGTGTGCAGCTCCAGATCCCAACAGAACCCCCCCACCCGCACCCTTACGCCTCCCACGTCCACACCACGCTCAACGACGCGCGTGTCCGTGCCTCCCGCCGCACCCGCATTGCGTCATACACACCCACACCCGGACAACCCGCCACCCCGAGCACCTGTAACCCGGACAGTCCTCCCATCAACTGCCGTAACAGCTGCTCGTCCAAACCGGGTTGCCGTCGTACGAATAGCCGCTGCGTCGTCACGCCCGCCGCAGCGGAAGAGCAATGGTTTGGCCCTGAAGGCGAAGACGGCGATGCCGGGGATGCGGCGGCGGCGGCGGCGGCGGCCGCAGTTCGGCCGACGCTCGCGAGAGACCGCAGCAGCGTCGGGTGGCCACCCGCCACCGTCAGTGTACGGCAGCTGCCCAGCAGCAGCGAAGCCAGCTGATCGGAGGGGGTCCGCCACGTTCGTGACGTGAGCAATGACGTCAGCAGAGCCGGCTGATCCAACTCATCGTCAACTGCTGCTACTGCCGCTGCCGTCGCCGCCGCCGCTGTAGCGGAAGGCCGTACAGGGTCCCCCTGTCCGACCTCCACCACCGACACCGCCACGCCTGCGGCGCTGCCTGCCTCCGCCTGGGTCTCCACTGCGGCCGCGGCGCCACCCTGCCGCTCACCCTCCTCCTCCTCCTCCTCGTCTTCCCCCTCTTCGAGCTCAGCGCTACCGCTGCTTTCCTCCTCCTCCTCTTCGCTCTCCACATTACCCTCATGGATCCTGTCCGCCTGCATACACACACACCCCGCACAGCACCGCACCCGCGTGCGGCTCAGCTTCTTAAAGCGCCACCGCGGGACCCGCGGAGGAACCCGCGGAGGGTCGTTCAGTCCAGTGTTGCAACAGTCTGCAACAGAACGCCCAATCGCCTTCGGTGACCCCGCAGACGAACCACACCGTCGCCCCGGCTACCCGCAGATTACATCACATCACATCACAACACATGACTAGAGACAACGCCCCACAGGGCAATCGCCGACCGAAGCAATTGCTGAATGCATTTAAAACGACTCCTAGAAATCTCATCAGAGGACTCTACAGTCATGTTTCCCACCCGCGCGCCCACACACCGGCATGGACGGGGCTCCAGCCGCCGCCGCCGCCGCCGCCGTGCGGTTCGCCGCCCCTCTGTCCGCCCCCGGCGGCCCCAAGTCGTGTAGCTCCAACAACACCAGCGGCAGCTGCATCAATGGGAGGAGGAAGGGGAAATTTCACCCAGGGGTTATATCGGACATTCTGATGATGATAATGATGATGATATGATGATGGAAAAAGGAATATCAAAGTATCAGCCAACACTTTTTATATTGTGCTTGCCAATGCCGAGATCAAGAATTATCCTTTACGCAGACAGACACACACACAGGGCACACACGGACATACAGACATACAGACCTGCAGCTTATCTGCCACGGGCCTTAGGAGCCGCAGCGCACTGCCGGGGCTGGGACAGCGCCACAACCGCAGTCGCTGCAGCGTCGGCAACTCCGCCGCCTGCGCTGCCAGGTCAGCCGCCGCAACGTGGGAGTCGCACACCGACCCATTTGCCGCCGCCGCCGCCAGCCCCTGTTGCTGCTCCCCTGGCGCCGCCGCTGCCGCCGCTGCCGCCGCCGCCAACCCCGCCATGCGGTCCCAGTCCCACATGGCCCTTCCCCGGCCCCCCTCTCCCTTCGGCCGCTTGCGGTACATGAGGCAAAGCTCACGCAGGTTTACCGGTGGTGGCGCCGGTGGCGGCGGCAGCGGCGGCGGCGGCGGCAGGGGTGCTGCCCAGGCGTCTGCCAGCGGTGGCGGCGGCGGCTCCGCCGCCGGTCCTACCATCATGGCCAGCTGGTGCTGAACCAGCTCCTGCCACAGATGCTGAGGACCCGGCGGCGGCGGAAGGGGAGCCGCCGGCGGCGGCGGCGGCGGTGGTGGCTGCGGCCGCGGCAGTAGCTGCACCGGCCGCGTCAAAGCCTGCATGTGCACTCCCAGAGCGGACAACGCGGGCAGTAGCGGCAGCAGCCCCAGATGCGGGTCCACCTCCAGGCGGTGGCTCACGATCAGGCGCTCCAGGGAAGGGCGGACAGGACCGCCGCCGCCGCCGCCGCCTCTGCCGCCACTGGCGGTAGTTGTATTGGCAGTAGTTGTGTTGGTGGCGCCGGCCGCCGCCGCATCTCCCCGCAACACTAGGCCTCCCACCTAGACCGCGGTGGCGACAGTCGTGGCGGCAAGAGAGGCGCACAGGGCCCGGAAGGAAAGGCGCCACAGGCGACATACCGACATACTTGCCGCCGTGGACAACCAGCTCCAAGGAGGTGGGTCATTCCCCCATAAGGCCCAAACCCAGTCCTCCATCACACAGCAAGCACACATACATACATACATACATACATACATACATACATACACACGCAGCACGAGCAATACCCGACCCACATCGCAACCACACCCCTACGCCTCACACCCCATTAGCATGCACATCCACACACACGCACACACACACACCACCCTTCCCTCCCCGCCGCGACTCACCAGAAGGGTATGGAGTGTTCGTAGGCGGGCGAGAGGCTGCGGAGGGAAACAACCAGCAAATCATTGATCTAACCAACAAACCAACCAACAAACAGACAAAAAAGCAGCGTGGGAAAAAAGTCACATCAAGACGACGCCAGCCCCTCCCCGCCCCGCCCCTCCCCTCCCCTCCCCGCCCCCCTTACAAGGGGACATAAGGACGGGAAGGACTCACGCTACCAAAGGACAGTCGCAGCGGGGCAGCGGGGGCCGGGCCGGGCCGGGGTGTGTGGGGGGGGAGGGGCCCCCAGGGGTCTCCGGCGGGGCGAGCTAGTGGGTAACAACGTCCCTAGTGCCTCTGGACCTGACCCGGGTGGGTGCGGGTGGGACACGTGATGGGCTTGTAGTGGTGGTGGGGGGGAGGGGACCGGGAGGGGGTCTACTATCGGAAATGGCGAGTTGGGGCTCTCCCCTCCCCTCCTCCCCTCCCTCCGCCTCCTCACCTCCAGGTCTTCATCTCCTAGCGTGCTGGCGGGCAGCGCCAGCTGGTCCAGGTAGCACATGGACTGAAGGGGGGAAACGGGGGAAAGACGAACCACACACGATTGAAGCTGCTGCCAGGGCAAGAGTGTATCAAACGTAGAACTGACCGAAAGGCGTCCGTGAAGAAAGGGGGGGAGGGAAAAGGGGGAAATACACACACGTGTGGAGAACCACGAATAGTATCATCAGGCAGCACTAAGGGCCCCGGGCCATGCCCCCACCCCCCATGTGGTGGGGAAGGGAAAGGGGTGAAGAAAAAGGACAGGTCAGTGAACACCTGGCAACACGTCATGACGGGATCGCCAACACAAATACACCAACACAGGCACGTGGGGAAGGGAAAGGGGTAAAACACACACACACATGTGCTTCGACACGAAACCAAACACGAGACCAGGCGTTTTCTTCCCGGTTTACTGCCCAACTCTCCGCCCAGCCAGCCCCTCCCCGCCACCTGCATGGCCGTCAGCACCACCCCTGGCCGTACATCCTCAGGCAGCCTCAACGTTAATTGTCGTACACCCTGTAGCGATGTGGCCAAATTGTCGAACCTGAGGGTGAGGCGGGGGGAGTTCGGATAACTCGGGCGGTGGGAAGAACCGAGGGGGAAGGAGCACCGCCACTACACGAGCCGGCGGCAGGGACGCGTTGGAATCGAAACCCCAACCCCTCTCTTTCCCCCCCCCCAAAAAAACCCTTTTCCCCCCTACCTGTGTAGAGCCCAGGGGGGGGCCGTCTCCACCTGCACTGCTAGCCTCCTCACCCCCACAGCCCCGGGGAAGTACCTCAGAGCCGCCGGGCCCGGGAGCGACACGGGGGGACCCTCCAGCTCCAGTCGCACCTGCGCACATACCGACATACAGATGCACCCTTCAGGTCATTTTCTGCGGTCTCCGCTCCCCTGGGGTTGAGGTGGGGGTGTGGTTGAGACGGCTGCGGATCGGCAATCAGCCACATTCCCCCTCCCCCTTCCTCGCCCTCGCCCCTTCCCCCCCTCCGCATACACACACTCAAACTCAGCAACATGAGATCCACATGCACACACACACACACACACACATTTCATCTCCAGCAGGATCCCCCTCCGGCCCCTTCCCCCAAAGGAGATGTTTGTTGGGGCCATGCACCGGGACTCCCCCCCCCCCGGACGGGCAGGCGGGGGAGCGTGAAGAAAGGGGCCGTTCGTGTCTGTTTGCGTGTGTGTTTTTTATGTGTTCCTGAGGCGGTCACGGCGAAACCCCAAGTTCAACATGCCTCCTCCCCCACCTCTCTTGCCCCCTAATTCCCCAACCTTTCCCCCCCAACACCCCCCCCGGGGCCCCCAGCCCCCCCCCCCAATTACCTGTGGGGCCCTCCTGGCCATCTCCCGCACCGCCACCGCCACCTCCCGCCAGCTAGGGAGCTGCTCGGGCGGGAGCCACACAGAGCTCAGGGGCAGCACCCGCCAGTCCAACCTTAATCGGAGAGGGGCACGCGCAACGTCGCGGGAGCTACTGCCGAAGCCGCTACAACCGCATCCACCTGCGCCTCCACCGCCAGTGGCGGCGGTAGCGGCAGTAGACGTGCCTCTCCCTCCCCCCCTTCCCCCTCCTCCCCCTCCTTCCCCCCTTCCGCCTCTGTGTTCCAGCGCCTCAGTGAGGTAGCGCCAGTCCCGGCGGGAGAAGCAGCAGGCGGGTCGGCGCCACCTGGCAGCATGTGGTAGCGGGTCCCATGCCGGGAAGGGGATTTGGAGGGGTTCAGAAGGGGCGGACATACATACAGGCAGGCATACAGACAGGTACATGTACCTTTTTTGCTACCTGCTGAGGTCTACGAGCTCCAGGGAGGGCAATCCCGCCAGAGCGCCTGATTCCAGTAACGCCAACAGCTGCGCGGGACCACCAGCACCGCCTCCGCCTCCGCCACATCCTCGACCAATCCTGCCGCCGCCGCCGCTAGCCGCCGCCGCCGCCGCCAATGACGATGACCCCGCTAGCTGCAGCTCTCTGAGCTGCGGGAAGAGCACGTGGAGCGGTGCGATGGAGAAGCGGCGGAGGCCGCGACCGTCCAGCAGCAGCCTGCAGGTGGCGCCGTTGACGCAGAGGCGTGTACGGCGGCATGTTGCCCTAAGGGCCTTGCGACTCAGGGGGTCCAGGCGGCCGAGCACGTTGGCGGTGACGGCGGGCGGCAGGACGCCGAACAGCCAGTCGCGCTCCAATGTTAGAGGCGCCAGGTGACTGGCCACGCGGCGGCGCTGCGCCTGCCGGCGGCGGGAGCTGTGGGGCCCAGAGGGGGGGGCCAGCGGGGGTCGCAAAGGCGTTTAGCAGGCGGTGATTTGGTTTTAGCAGGTGCTAGGTGGCGGTTTCAGCGGCTCTGTTTGCGATTTGGTGTTGGGTGGTACTTGCATCACGTTGCGATCTGGCAAGTTGTCCATGCTCGTGCTGAGAGCTGTGGTTAGCTGGAGGAGGCCAAGGGCTGGAAGGGCACGGGAGAGGGGCGGAGGGCAACCCAAAAGGTGAAAACGCTTGCATGTGGGGAGGGTGAACGTGAAAACGCACAATTGGGAAGAGAAGCGATTGCGGATGACGATGGATAGAGTTGGTTGCAGGGAGCGGTTTGTGACATGCGCCGTTGCCAGACAGCCATTCCGCTGGCTGCGATGGGTTTTGGGCTCACCGTACGCCTAGCAGAGCATCCACAAGCGCTTGCAGCTGTGGAGGGAGAACAATTGAAGTAGCATCTTTAGACATTAAGTTTGCTGCCATAATCCATGTGCCCAGGGCAGCAGGCAAAGCCGCCAGCAGAATTTGCGCCATTCTATGACGACGGGTGCCGGAAGATGTCCGACGCCTGCCTTTACTGTAATCCGGTGTGTGAGGGTCTTGCAATAGTTGTCCCGCAAGGCTGACAATTCCCTCGCAAAAAGTGTGAAATTGCTGCCTAGCTTGCGCCCAGTCTGGCACTGTACTTGGCCAGGCTATGCCATCCATGCGTATTGATGGTATATCCACTCTAAATACAATACCGTAGATTCGTGGTTGGGCTGCCGAGTGAAAAGCTGCAAAAAGTAGTCATCCTGTCGTACCGCTGGCAGTTAAGACCTGAATAATGCTTTACTGCATTTTACAAGTTTGGCACGTATAACGTTTTGGACCGGTACAAACCTTGCGCCCTTGTATTTTTGCATAGAGTCTCCCCTTCATGGCCATATAGGCGGATTTTTGGCCTCCGGGCGTTGAACCCGCCATGACCCTCATTGCCTCAGGGATCCAGCGCGTGGCAGGCCACCGCATGCATCATCCTTTTGACCTACCATGGACTTTGTAGCTACTCCCAGTCCTCTTTCAAGTCCCCAACTCTTTCCGGCGCATCGGCCTTCCCGGCATCTCTCAGCCCCTAGCCGGCCTTCACGCAATCCTCGCCCTTGCACAGATGTCGGCTCGCACTGCCAGCATGGATGTGGGACGATCCAACTGGCATGGTGCCGTACTGTACGGCCACGGCGGCTGGCGTGCACGTGCCTGAAGTATGGGTTTCGGCCTCGCCGTCGAGGCACTGTCACCAAGACCTAATTCGACTAGGGGACTGCAACCACCACCACCATCCATCTGCCCTGTCATCTATCCATCCATCCATCCATCCATCCACCCAGACAGACAGACAGACAGACAGGTCAATCAGCCCTGAGTGAATGCACCTCCACCACCTCCTCCAACGCCACAGCTCCCCCTTATTTGTTTTCCTGGAGCCACCTGGCAATGGCCTCCTGAGACTCGGTGCTCAGTCCCCGGGCCCGGGCGACCTTGGCGCTGGAGGCCTCGAACTCAAAGTACTCCTGAACCAAGACATAGATAAGAGGTGAGGGGGAGATGGGTTGAGAAAGCTAGAAGAGAGACAGTACGGCAAGCTGACAATAACAGCAACAACAGCCCATAAGACCAAACCCCCATCCTTTTCCACCCTCCTTGACCAGTCCTCCTACGCCGCCGCCGCCTAATTCCTCTTTGCCGTCACCATCATCATCACCTTGAAATTTCTGCGGTAGTAGTCCTGCAGCCGCTCCCGCTTGTAGCGCTCCCGGTTCTCCTCCGTCTGCTTTAGCAACTCTGAGGCGACGGGTGGGGGGGGTATGTGGGGTTGTGGGAAAGGGTGGGTATGTGGGTGTGGGTATGTGGGTGTGGGTGTGGGTAGGTATGTGGGTGTGGGTAGGTATGTGGGTGTGGGTAGGTATGTGGGTGTGGGGTTGTGGGTATGTGGGTATGTGGGGTTGTGGGAACGGGTGGGTGTGGGTATGTGGGTGTGGGGTTGTGGGAACGGGTGGGTGTGGGTATGTGGGGTTGTGGGGACGGGTGGGTGGCAGTGGGTGGCAGTGCGGCGGACGCGAGGTGCGGAAGGTCCCTATCAGCAGCGGAGGTGCTTCCCCGCTCCAACCTCCACGCGGATGTTCTGTCGGTTTGTCGGTCAGTCAGCCATTCAGTCAGCCGTTCATAGCGCAGCAGCAACAGCAGCAGCAGCAGCATTACTAACAATAGCAGTAGCAGCTATGTTCGGTGCTCACTCTGCACGAGCGGTGACGTGGCGTCATCCACTTCCTTGTTGGGCAGCTCCATCCGCGCCAGAGCAGGGGAGGGGGAGGAGGGGGCCTGATGGGGTGGAGAGGGGGGGGGGAGGGGGAGGAAAAGAGCTGAGATGTGGAGGGGGGGAGAGGGGGATGCAAGAGGTGGGTGTGTATGCGTGTGGTGTTTGGGAGGAAGGTGGGTGAGGAGAAAAGGGGAGTTGCTGCCTGCTGCCTTGCAAATCGTATGTGTGTGTGTGAGTGAGACGTCGAATGGATATTGTGGAGGTGCATGGCTGTGTTGCGACCCACAGTTGGGCGGGAGCCACTGGCGCGCTCCCAGCTGGTGGTGCTACTGCTACTGCTGGTACTGCTGCAACATCAGTAATGCTGTCGCCCTTCATTTGAAGAGTGTGTTGGCAGTGGGTGCGCAAGGGGGACCAGCGTGTGCCGTACCAGCATCACGACCGTCGTGGCGAGGAAGAGGCTAGTCCGCAGCACCACAGCCAGCGGGGCCAATGGGCTCAGTGCCCGCGCCTCTTCAAGGGGCTGCCGCTGCTGCTGCTGCTGCTGCTGCTGCTGTTGAGATGTGTGGAACTTGCGCCCCGATGGCAGGTTGCATTCCAGGCCGTCCGGGCCGAAGCAGCAAGGGGCATGTTGCTGCGAAGAGGAGCATCTGTACGACGGGTATGAGATGTGACGCAAGTTAGGGGATTTGATATTGCCATCGTGAGGGCGAGGAAGGCGTAGGATAGTGTGTGAAGGTGCTGTGGCGGAAAGGCTCGTAACGGCAGGGCGTAGGACTTGCTCGTTAGGCGCTTGTGCAAGGGAGCCCACTAATGGAGGCTTACTTTATGTGGGCGACAGAGAAGGCTTTGGCGTTTCCTCGTAAACGTGTCGGCAGGGGCCCTGTTGCGACTGGCGACAGCTGCACCAGAGACATTCTTGACATAATAGCAGAAATTTAAAGCAGGATTTTAAATAAGTGAGTTAATCTGAACCTGAAAGGCTTTCAACAGAGGCGTACCTGTGGCATTGGTGCATTTCCTGGTGCAATACCAACGAGAATCTATAACGATCTCTGCTTCAGTTATGTACGAGCTCACATTTCTGCTCAAGCTCAGGCGGAAACATAGATATTCGTAAGCTCGCGTTAGGAGTTTTCGCTCCTGCCCAGACTGTTCCGGTTCATCAAGATGGCATTGTAACCACTGCTGAATTCCCCTTGCACCTGGACTTCTTCTCCCACTGTATGGAAGCTAAGTGGAAGATTGCGCAAGATGTGGCGCGCATTAATGTCCAGTCGCTTTGCGTCGTGGGTAGTCGGGATGGTTAGCTTGCCGAAAGCACGGCAGCAGCAGCAGGAGCTGGACATGCAGCGCCTTTACATCCTAACACGGCTCCACAAGGCTGCTGCCCAGGGCAAGTCCGTAAACATGCCGAAAATGCTCCTCGAGGTAGGCGGCGGGACGTACACATTTCCTGTTTCCAACTCCCCTGTTCTTTCCTGCTGCGTGACTCCCACATTCCCTCCCGTTGACCATTATTTTTCCCCCTCACTTTTTAACACACCACTTCGTATTTTTATGGCTGCGAGCGGTTCAGGACGTTCGATGTGATTACCCGATGTGATTCCCCTTCCAGAGCCAGTCCCTGGAGCCATCCTCCATCAGGCGGGAGGTGCAGAAGGCATTACAGCTGCAGGTCGTCGGAGTGGCCGAGGCGCTGCACGACATTCTGCAACAGGTACAGAGAACGTTACCCCGCAAAAAGCGCATACCGAAACACAGATCCGCAAGGCACGGAAGTCCAACCCCTGCACGCACGCACACTTGCAACGTAATGTGTGACTGTGTGGCTGCTTCATTCCCTCTGCGGCCCCTCCTCCATCCTCAGGCCGGCGACCCTTGCGCCGCGGCGGATGCCCTGACGGCGGCTCACCTCCGCGAGCGGCGGCGGCGGGAGCGGGAGGCGTCGGGTTTCAGCAAACTCATCCGCAGCCTCACAGCCCGCCCCTCCCCCTCCTCTTGGCCATCCAGCTACTCAGGGCGGTCCAGGACCAACCGCGCAGCAGCAACAGCAGCAACAGCCGGAATGACATTGTCACCGGCAGCGGGAGCGGCGGTGGTGGGAAACGACAACTCCTTGCGCGCGGGGGCTTCCTCCGGGCTCAGTGGGTGGCGGCATGAAGTGGGGAGGCGGTCATCGTCGCGGTGCGCTGACGGTGATGGAGATGGTGGTGTGTTTCTGAGTCAGCAGCAGGTCGCGGAGGCGCTTCAGCGGCGTATCGGTTTCCGTTTGGAGCTGGGACCGTCCTCAGTCCCCCACCCGGATTCAGGTGTGCGCGGGACAAGGTGTGCTGGTGTGGTGTGATATTGGCGCGGATATGATGATGTGTGAGGAGCCGGGAAGATGGACTCAAGTCGTGAGGGGGGGGGATATGGAGGGTACGGAGGGTTACGGGGGAGTTTGAGGTGCCACCAGCCACCCCAGCCACCGCCAGCCAGTGCATTATCCGCTGTTGCTGCGGACATCAACAGCAGCAGCAGTCCGCAACGTTGGACGTCGTCGGCAGTGCCGTTACCCTTTCCATCCTCCCCTGCTGTTCCGGTGTGTCGCGGTACGCAACTGCCACAAACACCTGACTTGCCTGACCATAGCTCTAAGATTCTTTAGATAGATGCTCATTGATTTGACGCACGTGGGTGCACATGACATGAGGATGGGGAGGATACCCGACACGCCGTGTCAGTCACACACAAACAGACATACACACATACACGAACGCACGCGGGTCACCCCTGTGGCTATATTACATCCAACCCCCCTTTCCCTTCCCCACCCCTCCTCGGCCGCCCCTCCCTGGATTTATCATAACATCATCCTCGTCATCCTCGCCATCGTCATCATCATCGTCAGGCACGGGACTGTTCCTGCGCGGTGAGGCCCGGCCGGGAGCTATCGTGGCCATCTTCCCTGGAGTCCTGTACGGCAGGACGCAGCTTGCACACATGCCAAATTTCCCAAAGGCACGACCCGAGCGCTTCCTGGTGCTGGTGATGAAGTTGGTGGTGAAGTTGGTGCTGGCGTTGGATGCCGGGTTGAGGAGGAGTGGGGTAGCGGTTGGTCCACCTCCTGACCCGCCCTGACGTGTTGGGGGAGGCGGTCCGCGGTCAGTGCCCTCCCCCTCCACACACACACCAGCACTCGCTCGTGGTTCGTCGTTCCCCCTCCACACCACCACTACCCGGCTAAGTTGGCGTGTGTTGTGTTGTGCTCTTCATGCACCGGCTGTGCCGAAAGTACCTGCGTTGCCTGTGTGCCTGCGCCCCTTCCTGATAGGACGTCCTCAGGACGTTGCCCACATCCGCCGTGCTCCGCTTTCCCCCGGGAGCCACCCCCTTCCCTGGGCCGAGAGCTCCCCGCCCCGCTCCCCTGAACGAAGGTTGACAGCTCCGCTGCTGTCCCACCCCCTAATGTCCGAGAGTTTGGTCCGTGGCTGCTGCCCTTTCCAGAGGGGCCGTGGAAAACATTCCCACACAGCTCCCCGCCGGACCGGGGGCCCCTCCTCCCACCTCCTGCCCGCTGGTCCCCGCACCGCACAGACCCCCTCCCTCCCTCCCCCCCGACCCCCGACCCCCGACCCCACCAGGTGGACATGGACAACCCCTACCTCAGCTGCCGATACGACCAGAGCATCGTGGACTCCAAGCCGTGGGGCCGCGGATGTCGCCACCCGGGGGATGCTGCGGAGGAAGAGAAGGCCGCGGCTGCGACCGCTTCTTCGGCGAATCCTGAACAGTGTGGGAAAGCTGTGGCGGGGCCTCAACACGGCGGTGACGTCGACAGTACGGCCCCTCGACCCAGCCCTAGCAGCAACAGCGGGAACAACAGTGATACGGGGGACTTGGCCAGCAGTAGTAACAGCAGCAGCAGTAGCAGCAGTAGCAGCAGCAGCAGTGGACGGCCCTGGTGGAGGTGGTCCGGTCCGCTGTCCTCGGCACTGGGGTACCTGGAGGGGCGACACCCCCTGGCATTGGGCCACTTTGTCAACCACCCGGGGGCGGGTGGGTCGCTGTGCGCGCTGTATGTTTCTGTATGTCTATCTGTCCATGCAAAAGTGTGACTGTTTGCCTGGCTGGCTGCCTATCGTCTGGCCTCGACCAACCTACCGACCGACCGGCCGGGGTCCGAGCTGCAAATCAGCTTCGTCTTCTTTGTGCGTGTGCGTGTGCGTGCATACGTCCAAAGCCTCTGAAAGTTTCCATCGCAATTGTATACACCACTCATCCATCTTGGACTTTTGCATATGCTCCCATGGGCAACTTGTGCGATGATTTTTTGTAGAATTGTGCGAAGTTGCGGTACGGCTCCATCCGCGGCCACTAGCCTGGCGCTCCCTGCTTTCCCGGACGTTTCACGGCGCCCTCATGCTTATCACCCACGTATGCCGGTTTCTGCAAAGTCAGTGATTTGTTCGGGTTCACCGCCCCACCATCATCACCGGCATCGTCCAGTGTAAAGTACGGATCAACGGCGGTGTGGACTCCACTCCTGCCCGGAGTGTAGTGGCCCGCTCGCAGGTTCATCTCTACAATAGGGTCCGCCACCGCCCGTCGACATGGAAATGCACCCGCCCATCCACCCTCTTACAGTCGAGGGATTTCTGTCCTGCTGTTTGTCGGAATCGAACTTTAAATCTTTCCAGGGACGCAATGCCGCGCCTGATTAGCATGTTTGCTGTGCCTGGAGCCATCCTAAAACCCCACTTGTGCCATGTTCCCCCTACTTCAGGACAATCCCCCAACGTGTTGGAGGCCGCTCTGGACCTCCCGCTGGAGCTGCTCAATGACCCACGGGGCGCCATGCGGCCGTGGCTCCGTGCCTACCTACCCGTCGTACAACCACCGCTGCACTACGACCCGTACGGTAATGACCCTGGCGAGGACGGCGAGGACGACAGCGACGGGGAGGATGAGGAGGAACACGAGGTAGAGGAACACGGAGGCCGAGTGGGGGCTGCAGCGACCTCTGTGGCCGCGAGTACGGCGTCAGAACAGCAGCAGCAGCAGCAGAGATGGCGGCAGCAGCGGAGACTGCCTGGGGAGCTGCGGGCTGAGGAGTTGCTGTCGCCGCCTGGGGGAGTCGTACGGCTGCTCGTCCTGGTGTCCACGACGGCCGTACGCGACGGCGATGAGCTGCTTCAGAACTACCGCATGAACCCGCATGTAGCTCGGCCAGACTGGTGGGTGGCTGGGTGGCGGGTTTGAGGAAGGATGGTGTGTCCTTGAGGGAAGTGTCTAAGAGTTTGGAGATCTCTAACCGTGGCTAGTTGTTGCGGCTTAGACTACGACATTACGGCGCAAGCTGCTAACCCGCCGGCCCCCTACTGCAGGTACGTGGTCCATGATGCGGAGGCGGAGCAGCGGCGCTGGGCCCGGTTCCGGGCGATGGACATGGGTTTCAAGGCGCGGAGTGGCGGAGGCAGTGGGGGTGGTGGCGGTAGCGGGGGTGGTGGCAGCAGCGGCGGGTTGGCTGGGCCCGCGGGTTGAGCTGTCTTTAAGTTCTTCTCACGGGTTGCGTCTCGCAGCAGCGTGCATTGAGGCAGGTTGAGTTGTTTCTGTGGCGATGTGTCTGTCGATACGATATGTGCGGTGCATTGATGGCGCCGTCCACAGGGCCGGCCAGGTGGGCATGTTGTGGCGTGCTGTGCTGTGCTGTGGGATATAACAGGTACGTCCCAGTACGTACACACTTTGGCCTCAGGTACCGCGTTATGGTTCCCGAGGCGGCGGGGGTTCCCCCATTCTCGGCCGCTGGTGGTGGCGGACAGCCACGCAACCTAGTGTGGGGTACGAGTGTACGGGTGAACTGCATTCCCCACCATGGGGGAACTGGGAATGCGATCAGTACGGGTAGCTCCCGCAGGTCAGAGAGAAATTCAATCTCAGCTTCATGTACAGCTATTTAGTCACACTTCCTATGACCTTAGGGGGCCGAGACCCGACCCACACGCGGCACATGCCGCACACCAACAGGCAGCACACCGCGTGTCAGTGTGTTTTGACACAGCAACAACCACGAGGACTAATCTGGATCACACGCGGCCACAGACAGATGTGCTGCTCAAACAGGCATGCCCGCCGTGGCATGCGTACGGCAGGGTATGGCAGGGCGTGCAGTCGACGAGCATCTATGTATGTAAGTATGTATGTACATATGTCTAGGTGTCTTGGACTCATCCGAACCAACCCGCAGCTGATGCCCTCAGAGAAGTGGCGGGATAAGTGACCTAACGTGACATAGGGCCCTAAAGGACAACAAGTACAGTTTCGTGAGGGCGTTCTTCAAATACGAGTTGTATTTATTTTATGATTGTTGTGAAAGCATCGAACAACGACCCCACTGTGAAAGCCACCACACTGTCCAAAGCTCTGCAGTGCGGCCAACTTGGGATGCGACGGTGAAAGCAACCGTAGGGTAACGACGACAGCTTCAATCTAGGATATGACACACACACGCCTCTTCCTGCTGTATGCATGTCTGCTGGAGCAGCCTAAGCTGGATGAGCCGCCACCGTTTGTACGACGTCGCTTGGGTGATCCTCACATCGGCCAAGTAATGCCTTGCCGAGAACCTTCTCGTACGACATTTTGCAACTGAGTTTGAAAGCACGCAGTCAGGTTCACAGGAGACCCGCCACACGCCCACCCTGAACCGTGTTCTACAGCAACAGCAACCGCGGCTGCAGTCCTCCTGTCTTGGTCATTGTTTGGTCAACAACTCCCCGGGAACCCCACCATGTTTGGGTCAAGTCGACTTCTCGTTCCCCAGATCGGAAATGGGTGATGTCTTCAATTATGGGCTCTCAGTACGATAGTGCTGCTGTTGCCCGCAGCCTGCTTTCCATTGGATCGATCACCTACAATAGCTGCATAGCATTATGTACGGTACTTAGGTACGGCCTCTGTCCCTCCTACTCTTCCCTTCCCATGCTGGGGAGAGATTCATGGCTCGCTGGGGCCAGCCACAAGCAAACTGGTCGGTATGTGGGAAGGCACGCAGACTAGATAGAGAAGGAGGCAGGCAGGCGGGGAGGGGAGGGGAGGTAGGTAGCCGACTGGTGTACCCGGGGGGGGATGGCCGTGTCATCAGTACCCGGCGGTCTTATTTGCCACGTTGATCAAAGGCAGCCCCGAAACCAGCCGACGATAGTTGTCCGCAATTTGGGCCACCGCGTTCTACAGAAAGCGGGCAGCAGCAGTAGCAGCAGCAGCAGCAGCAGCAGCAGCGAAGGCATTGGTGGCAGGGCCACACGAAACGTTTGCACCTGGGCACTCGCAGGTGGGGTCCTCATACCGGCATATACCGGGTGCACACACGCAGCCAGGCAGGCAGGCAGGTCCCTACCGCTACCACAACCACCCGGTGAGACCCCCGGTGAGCGGTGCAAGGCAGGAGGGCAGGAGGCATCCACCAACTCAACTTTGTACCACCTCCTTACCTGCCCCCTCACCTTCCTCCCGGGTGCTGTCCCCTTACCCTCCCTCCCTCCCAACCCACCGGTACATCCGTTATGGAGGACACGTGCGGTGTGATGCGCACTCGCGGGTGGCACCACAGGGGCGAGTCGGGGGGCAGCGGCTCCGTGGCAAACACGTCCAGGACAGCTCCACCCAGTCGACCTGGGGGACGGGGAGGGGGGAGGCGAACCACAGACGAGTGAAGCTGATACTGGAGATAGACGGAATAGATGGATACTGCATCAGGAAGTCGTAAGAAGTTGCCAGCCAGCAGCGACTTGAGAAGTAGTTATTTAATCGCGGCGACGTGAGCAGCTAGATTGCGAACGAGTATCTCGCGGCCGAGTCCATGACTGGAGGAAAGGCGTAATGACGACCTCTCGCCGCCGGAGCTCCTTGTGAAGGTCAGGTCGGGGAGGGTGAAGAACCTGACGAGATGAAGAAGGAGAAGACGACGACGACGAATAATAATAAGAAGAAGATCATATCTGCGCCACGGGGACCGCAAATCATTACGGCCTAACTCGCAATATCCCGCGAAGGCCAGCACTACACGTCGCGGGCGAGTGCACCTCCTCACACACACACACACACACACACACACACACAACCCCCCTGGGACCACTCTTTGGCTCTTCCCGGGAGAGAGGCCTCCCGCTCTCAATGGCACCAGATGCGCACTGCTGCCATGTATACACCGCCCCTGACGCAGGCCCTCAACGCCGGAGCCCACCACCAGCGTCCGCACAGTCCCACAGCAGCGTTATCCGTGCAAGCGGCCACCCCTCCCCTCCCCCCTTCCTCTCCTTTCCCCGGACCCACACTCCGGTGTACTTGCCCTCGTCCAGTGCCCTGATGAGCGCCTCCTCATCCAGGTGCCGGCCCCGGGCCGCATTGATGACTGTGGCCCCCGGGGGTAACCAACTGAGAAGCTCGGAGCTGAGGATGCCTGTGTGCCCGGTGGCGGGGCGGGGTCGGGGTGTGTGATGATGTGCGCGGGGGTGCGAAGGGAGAAGGGCCAGGAGGTGGCCTTGGAGGAGTTGAAGAGGGGGGGAGGGGAGGGGGGGAGGTTGGAATAAAAAAGACATGAATTACGCCAATCCCGCGGACCCGGACAACGACACGGAGCATGAAGTCAACGTGGACGTGGGCCCCCTAGGGAAGGAAGCAGAGGCTTGGTTGGTACGCGAGTACCGTGAGTACGGCATACACACGTCACGGCAGGCCCACCGCGCTGGGGAGTCAGTGTGGGATGAAAAAGAGGAGAAGAATTTGTCCCAAGACGGGGCCTTAGGCGGCCCCCGGGGTGTTGTGCGGTGAGGTGTGGTGTTGTGCGGTGAGGTGAGGTGAGACGCACCTAGGGTTTCCGGCGTAAGCGGCAGCAGGCACACCAACACATCACTGCGCTCTACAAACCGCCGCAGCTCCCCACGATCCCCCGCGTACACCGCCACGTCGGGAACACCGCTCCCGCTGCCAATGTCGCTGCAGCTGCCACTGCTGCTGCCTCGGCTTCCAGCATTAGCGGTCGAGGCAGCTGCGCCCGTTCCCGCTTCCGCTTCCGCCTGCTGCTGCTGCTGCTGCAGCTTTGTCCTGGGTTTCCTGGCCCACGCAGCCACGTCATATCCAGCCGCTGCCAGCAGCCGTGCGGTGGCCTGGCCCATGACTCCATATCCCAGGATGCCCACCCGCACCTCGCCGTTGTCCCAGGGCTTCAGGTTCTCAATCTTTTTGTCCCACCTGGGGCGGCCCCACCCCGGGGAGGGAGCGTGTGGAGGAGGGGCATGATGCGGGGTAAAGGGCTGAGAGGGGGAGCGAGAGCGGGGAGGAGAGAGAGAGAAGAGGAAAAGGAAGAGAGGAAAAGAAAAGAGAGACACCCAGACAAGGAGGTCAAGGGCAGGCAGGCGCCGGGAAAGACATGGTGTGGGTTGGGTTGGGCCCCCATGTCGCGTAGCAGCTTGCATTATTATATGTCATGGGCTGGTACATACACCGCTCCCAACCCCCGACCTGCAAGGACCCAAACGCCTGCGCTGCTTGGCCATGGCTGTAATCCGCCCGGTGGTACAAAACACACATCGCCGCGCCAGCCCTCAATTAGGACACAATACCTGCGCTCTGCCTGGGCCTTGCCGTACAGATCCATTTTGCGCTGGAAATTGATGACAGCCCACATGACCCAGGTGGCCATCCTCTGAGCCATGAGAGGGTCCACCTATCCGAAGGTTGGATTGGGGACGAGGGGGGTAGGGGAAAGACGAACCACAAATTGGATTGGGGAAGGAGGGTAGGGGAAAGACGAACCACAAATTGGATTGGGGAAGGGGGGTAAAGGAAAGACGAACCACAAATTGGATTGGGGAAGGAGGGTAGGGGAAAAGACGAACCACAAATTGGATTGGGGAAGGGGGGTTGGGGAAAAGACGAACCACAAATTGGATTGGGGAAGGAGGGTAGGGGAAAGACGAACCACAAATTGGATTGGGGAAGGGGGGTAAAGGAAAGACGAACCACAAATTGGATTGGGGAAGGAGGGTAGGGGAAAAGACGAACCACAAATTGGATTGGGGAAGGGGGGTTGGGGAAAAGACGAACCACAAATTGGATTGGGGAAGGGGGGTTGGGGAAAAGACGAACCACAAATTGGATTGGGGAAGGAGGGTAGGGGAAAGACGAACCACAAATTGGATTGGGGAAGGGGGGTAGGGGAAAGACGAACCACAAATTGGATTGGGGACGAGGGGGGTAGGGGAAAAGAGCAAACATACACGGTAAGTTAAATGCCACAACAGTGGTTGCGGGTTGCGACTAAAAGACAGGGGGAAAGGAAAAGGGGATGATGTGGATGATCGTAACGTAGCACGGGGCAGTTGGTTCGTGTGGCACATGGCACATGGCAGTGCACGTACGAACCACCTTACCACACGCACAACGTCCACCCCTGGAGGTATGAGCCCGGGGCGCATCGCGTGGTCCACCCCGGCACCCTGTGACGCGATGGCGCGCAGGGAGGGCATCTACCCGTTGTGCGGGTTGGGGGAGGGAGGGGGAGCAGGGGGGGAAGGGAGGAGGGAGGGAGGAGGGGGAGGAGTGGCTAAGGAAAAGGAGGAAGGTACCGGTGGAGGAGTTCCTGCTCTGTTAGCAGTTACAGATGAGAGGGAAAAGGATAGGTGCACACTCACGCGCGTATAAATAGTGTTGTCGAACATGTACGTGTGAGGACAGCACCGTCCTCACGGGCACAGCACCGTCTGGCAGATGGGGCACATGTGTCTTACTTTAGATAGCAGCGCCGGCGTGAAGTTCCAGCCAACGGCGTATCGTACGGCATTCCAATCACGTATATCGTCGGCCCATGCCACCGGCACACCAGCGGCATAGAGCTGGTCGTACCACAGCTGCCGATTCATCCAATCTGTGCTCGGTGTTCGACCTCTTAGGTTAAAGGGCTTTTGTCCGTGATAAAGTAGATTTTCATACAGTAGACGTGGCTGCAATAGTAGAACGATAAAAGCTCACCGCAGTGGAGTAAGACTTGTTCAGACTGCAAAGCTATGTCGTTTGATGCGTTCGTTTTTGCCGCTGCGCTGGCTTGAAGTGGCCGAGTTCCAAGCGGCATGCATGCGGAAACATGACCCACGGTCCCGGCCAGACATCTGCGGGAAAAATAGTTTAGGTAACTTTCTAGATGCCCGGTATTATGTCTATCCTTTAGTGGCGATGTTTGTGTAGTTTATGTATGGTAGGTGGGGCAGCTTAACGCAAGCGTCCTCATGGAAACGAAAGCACAATGTAAGAGTCCCCGCGCACCGTGTTGGCCCGGTAAGAACCTTATTTACTCTCTGGCGCGTGCACGCCAGGCCCTGGCCTAAAAGGCACCTTATGAAGGTTTGCATTGCGACCTGGGCCGGCTATCACCTTGTGTAAGCTAAGATCCAGGCATAACGAAACATGTGGCCTATCCTTACAACGATAGGCTTTTTAATCCTATAAGATGAAGGTAGAAGGATTGTACAGCGAAGTTCCATGCATACGGCGGCACGTGCACCACCGCACGGCATGGAACAAATGGATTGCGAGCCCGTCACAAGAAAGGTGCAGTCTTTCAATACGGGTTGCAACACTTGATGTTGCACTAAACTTTCTCGGAAGAGATTCGGACATCGTTAGACGATGATGCGTTCACACGCCCTCGTGTCACCTATAATTGTAGCATGCTGCCTACTGGCATGTACTGTGGGCTTTGCTGAAGCTGCGGAGCTCCGCGTTAACAGCTTGGGATTGGCGAAACCGGAAAATTGGTGCATCGCGCAGAAGACACCACTCGACTGCGACCTCCGCGATGATTGTGAGCGTGTCGATCCCCGCATGCCTCATTATGTTAAACATATATATGCCCTTTTCACTGATGGAGCTAACTGGACAAATTCGTTACCGTGCGGCTGCGCCTACCTGCTCCGGAAGTTAGTGGAAACCAACGAAGGGCTCGCACCTTTTACCGACATGCCTCCTTCCTTAACGAGGGTCGAGATCCTTTTCACTTTCACGACTTGGTTCCTGGTTCGTTGCTGGGCTATGTGACTCCATGATGCCTTGCTTTACACTTTGACATCCCGCACGGTCCCCCACTTCCGCGCCGGCACCAGGCGTATGGTGCGAGAAGCCGGGCAACAAGTTTGGAACGGGGTGCTACCCAGTCTCCGCAGCGAAGCTGGTCCCTAAGGGTAAGCGCCGGTACTCACCAACCAGACGGCCGTCGTGCCGTGATAGAACGCTTCCTTCCACTGGCCCGCAATCGCTGCACACCCTGTCCTCTTGGGCCCGCTTGGGCTGCGTTTGCGGAACCGGCTGGGCAGCTCAGGACGCTGTCGCGGCAAATTTACCTTTCCCTCTAAATCCAGCAGCGGGCCGCTGCAGCCAGCCCTGCTGATCGCTGTTGAGGAGGGCTGCCCTGCTCTTTTACTTTCTGTGCCATTACTGTCTAGCCCACAACATGACGCACCAGCCCCCTACGAGGCTAGAAGGCGTTCCGAGGTACTCAGCACCGAGGTACTCATCTGAAGAAGTCGTTATGCATGGACGCACCCAGCGGGAGATAAATGAAGAGATGTAGATTTAACCACCCAAACCGGCCTTTGTACTCGACTCCCCGTGAACCCCGTTTGGAGCCGGAAAGCAACATCGATGACGTTCCCGTTGCCTCTGTGTCCCCGCTGTGTCCATCCCTGCTGCTTCGCATGTCGCTGACTACGGGTAAACCCATGCTATGGGACCCATGCTATGCTTACTTAGCGTGGGGCCTGGTTTGTGACAAGGACCTAGATCCGTCAGCCGCCACCCCTGCACCGAGCCAGGCGGGGTCCTGCGATGGCCGGCCGGAGGCTTCCTGCGTGGGCCCTGCGTGCGTTTGGTGCACCAGCGCCGCCGTCGGAGGAGGGTGTTACACGCCGGTGGGTTCAGGGGCCGGATGGCGAGAGTGGTGTGTGTATGTGTCCGCGTGTCCTAAGAGGGAATATTTTGTTAAGAGGGATCATTACATATGTTCTCATCCCATACTGTGCGCTAGAGATGCTTTTCCTGGAGACACATAGCATGGGAGTCGTATGGCTAAGGGGGAAAGGAACGGGCAATGGAGGTGTACGGAGGTGGCAGGGGTTAGTTCCAGCTCAATTGGGTGAAGGGTGGGGGTAAGCGGCGAAGGACTTGGGTAAGCGCAGTGATGTGGCGCACAAAAAACGTGGTAAGGTTTTCCTTCTCCACGCGGCAGTGATGTGGCGCACAAAAAACGCGGTAAGGTTTTCCTTCTCCACGTTTTCCTTCTCCAGTCGGCGTCATCAGGTCCTGCATGGAGCTGTGCTTGAGCCGGCAACTGTGTTGCAAAGCCTGCGCGGTCCGCGCATGCCGCATGTGTGCTGCCTGTTTTGTGCAGTCGCAGCTGTGCGGAATGAGCCTTGGATTTCGGGTTTTGAAATTTCGGCGCTGAGCTGACAGATCAGTGACCCCTGGGTTGGTTTCTCGGGACCCACGCAGGATGAGGCTAAGCTGCTTCCCAAGGCCATTTTCAAGTGCAAGACACCAACGACAGTTGCCACCGCATGACGGACACGGAGTTTTTGGGGTCCTTACGTTTCAGATACCAATGAGGATGATAGTCGCGGACGAATTGTAGGAGCCAGGCAATGCTCCAAAATGCCGAAGCCAACTGCATCGCTAGGAGGGATGTCGTTTTGGGCATGATTGTCCTAATATGTCATCTCAGGTGCAGCACTTCATTAAGTTATGACTATGAAGTACTTGCAACCTGCAGGATGAATATGCGGGATGTGGAAGAAGTGCTGTATAACAACCGAAGGCCCCTTCGTGGTTCGGGAATTATGATTGGTGATCATGTGCACTTGTAGTCAGTTGGTTTGCCGGTTGTAATCTTCAGCGGCAGCTTATTGATGTGATGTGTTGATATTACGACGGGGCAGATGGTTCCGACGGGGGTTGGGCGCAAATTGTGCGCGTGTTGTCTGCAGGGTGCTTCGTGGGATATCGCCATACTTGCCTCCCTGTCATGGGACACGATATTCGCGGCTGTTGCACGACGACAACAGTGATACGTGCCACAGGCATATGCATCGCGTCTGGTAAGCTGTTTGCCTGGCAACATGTGGACATGTGCAAGGCGGCTCTGGTCATGTGAAACGCTCGAAAGGACATTGCCTCGCCTCAGTCGGTTTTACCTGGCGTCGGAGGACTATGAGGCCTCGGCGGCGGTTTATTACATAATAAAACGGCGCCGCTGCCATGCTAGAATTCACCACTGCTACTGCAAAATGGAAAGGTCCGCTCGCTCTCACACCTTTCCGTCTGCCTTTTCCGTCCGCCCTGGACAGGTTTGGACCGCCAGCCTCGCCACGCTTTAAAAATGAGACAAATGTTCAAAGATTTTGCAACATGCCAAGTTACTGAAGCACAGTGTTGCTCCCCAACATGAGCCGTGCATGTAGGATGTGCGGCCACAGCACAGCATTGCACACAGCACGAGGCCGTGGAACCGCGCGCGTCTTGATGCCCCTGCTTGCGGGCTCGCCTGCTCCCCCCTAGGGAGAGCGCATACGCACTGCCGCACACTCGCCTGCACCTCGCCCTGCTCTGCCCACGCGTGTAACAAAGTGCGGCAGGCCTAACATAGTTCCTCTGCTATGGCAATACGTTTTAGCGCAGGCTATAGCCATTGCTCTTAAATGAACAGAACTTCCCAAGTATCTGGCATGTGGAAGCCAGCGCTCCTTCCACTCCATCAACCCATCGCTTCGCTGTTTTGTCTTTATGCACCTCAAAAACATAGTCGCAACCCTTGGTGCGAGGCGCTGATGGCAGCATGCACCGCCACGCAAAAGATTTCGGGACTATTCTTATGGTACAATCTCAAGCAAGTTAAGCATGCCGCACGAAAGGGAAACAGCCCCAAAAGGGCAACGGAAGGAAAACTTCGCCCCGTTGCCAAGGACATGCAGGTTGCGAACGAAACGAGCAAAGTTCGACACACAGCGTCCGGACGCTCCCCGCCGTGCCGAGCTTGTCGCAGCCCTCCTGCTACGCATATGAACGTCACAACGGCAGGAGTGTGGTGGCACTGTTGCTTTTTGTCGCTGCCGTTTGGTTGACATTGCAGCTCATGGCACACCTCACACGCCGCACCGCCCCCAGTGGCAATCGCGTTCACATTTGCCGCACGGCACTACACAGCGCCCCCACACTGAGCCGATGCCACGTTGCACCATACCCCTCACACCAAATGACGACACAACACGCCGATACTAGAAAGGAATCCCGACGACTCCAGAACAACAATGCTGCCGCGGTGCTTTCCCCCTTCCTGCCGCCCAGGCTACAGCTAACGGCCCAGGCGGGCAGGTGAACTCATTTAGAAGCAAGAGCGAAAGCATGTAGCTTGAATGGTCAATTGACCGGCTCGTTAAGAAAGGGAAGCCCAGCCATGCCTCAGCAGCATGCGTTTCTCCTCCTA